TGGAAGTGCTTCACACCTTCCTTAGAAACAGAGCCATACGCAAGATGGGGGGATATTTATAGTCAAAGGAAGAATAAGATAAGTGTAAACGCATACCTTGGTGCATCTGTGCGGTGGGAGGGGATTGCAGTGAAATTACAGAGTAGGAACTTCTCTTGTCAACAGTGTGAATTATGACGAATGTTTTGGAAGTTTCTAGAAGTGCTGAATACGTGGTTTCTCATACACATTGTTCCAGCAAGAAAGTGATGTGTGGGGGGCTGAAAATGAGCCAAGAATTAGGCACTCATCTGAGCTGACTTTGGGCTGCTGGAGTGAGACGGGTAAGAGCAGTTGCCAGGGTTGGGGACTGGGAAGCCTCAGCTTTGATAACTAGCAGGGGCACAAGAGGAGTCCTGGCCACTGAGAGGAGGAACAGCCAGTCATTGCAGGCACACAGTGTGCAAGATGGGGCAGAGTACAGGCACTCAGTGGTAGTATGGATTGGCATGGTAACAGCAACTGGTTTGGGAATTTATGAAAGCAGTCCTGCTTATTAAAATACGTGACAGAGGCAATCATTTAAAAGCAATAGCCTTGAACTGAAAAGCACTCCTGTAATCTCAGTTCTCAGGGGAGGTAGAAGCAGAAGGAGCAGTCTTACAAGGTTATTCTCAGATGTGATGTGATTTTTGAGGCTAACCTGGGAATAAGTGATGCCTTTGTGCAAGTGTGTGTGTGTGTGTGTGTGTGTGTGTGTGTGTGATTGTGTGTGTGTGCATGCTTGTGTGATTGTGTGTGTGTGTGTGTGCATGCTGTTGGGTACAGATCACAATACCCAAGGAGGACTGGGCCCAACACTCTGTGTGTGTGTGTGTGTGTGTGTGTGTGTGTGTGTGTGTGTGTACTCCCAGCACTTAGGAGGCAGGGGCAGGTTTTGTAACTCTGTAAGTTACAAAATTGTATGAAGCAAAATATGGACAGAATTTCAAAGGTCAGCAGACAATTCCATGGTTACAGAGCAAAAATTTAACACATCTCTAACAGTAATTTGAGAGTTTTAATAACAAAAAGAAAGGACACAAAAGCCCTGATCATCACAATAAGCAAACATGATTAAAAAACAAAAACAAACAAACAAAACAAACAAACAAAACTCTGTCTTCTGTATAGAATATGCTTCAGGTCTCAGGAGATGCTCAGTGGTTAAGCGCTTGCCTGCACTTGGAGGACCAGATATCTGATCCCCAGGACCCATATAAATGCCAAGTGGGTGTGGCAACTATAATTCTAGCCTTGGAAGGTGGAGGCACTGGCTCCCTAAAGTATGCTGGCTCTCACCAACAGATCCACAGTGGCCAACCAAACAATTCTCGAGATGTTGCAAAAATTGTAGGAGCCAGTGTTCTGAATCATTCCCCACTGTTAGACACCTGTAGTGACAGTGAAATCTACTTGGAAAAAATGAAATCTTTAAAACAACTGATGAGTCAAGAAATGCCATAGAAGGAATTTAATGCCATCATGGGAATTATTTAATGCTATAATGGGAATTTAAATACCATTCTGAGAATACACTATTGGCAAGAAGGTAAATTTCTATTCCCTGGTTAAGAACTCTTGGAAAAATATAGTTTAGGAAACACATATTAAAATAGTCACCAAAAATGTGAAAGTGCCTTGGAATACATTTATCTGAAGATGTGAGAAACATCTCTGTGTGAAACTTAAAACATTCCTGAAGACCTCAATAAATTGAGAGAAATACATAGTTTTGGTGGATTTGTGGTTCTGAGTTCTAAATTTCTTAATTATGCAGCACATGGTTTGAATGGTTTCATATTTAAATGTAAGCTGCATTGTTTTAGTATTTTAGGTTGATGCTAGTCTGCATATAGTTCAAGGAACCAGTAATCCTGGAACAGCTTTGGAGAGGAAGTTTAATGCCTGAGGCTCAACTCCTGCACTGAGTGAAGGCCTTGATAATCTCCAGTCTGGAGCATGTATGATATTTAGTCCAGGGAGAAACAGAGAAGACTCCAGAAGCAGGTTTACTCATTTATGAAAGTATGTGTGGAGCAGACACATCATTTCAAATCAGTGAAGGAAAGGGGGGCTTTTAGAAACAACATTAGAGCAGGGATGGGGCAGGATGGTGCAATCTGTAATCCCAGCACTTGGGAGGATTGTGAGTTCAAGGTCAGCACAGTTTGCTTATTGAGCTCTTGTTTAAAAAACCAGAATGGGTCTGGGGGAAGCAGCATTGGAAGGAACCACTGTCCCACTGTCCAAGAGGAAAAGAAAATCAGCTCGCTGTTCCTATCAAGTGGTGTTAAAATAGGTTAAAGAGCTAGACAGAAAAGCACGTATCCTGAAAAGTGTTGGAAGAAAATAAAGGAGAATGCTTTTAGGGCATCAGAGAGAAAAAAGAGACGTTAAACCAGCAACAAAACCAAACCATAACTAAAGACAATACATTTGAGTACAATACAATATTTTCAAAAACCTCTTTGTACATAAAAGATATCATAAAGAAGAAACATAAATCTTAAACATGGAGAAGGAATTTGGTGTGTATCTAGCCAGGAAGGGATGGCCCAGAAGTTATAGTAAACAGCTTTAACTAAAGCCCAAATTCTAGGAATGGACACTCCTGAGAGGGGAGATGGGACAGCTTCACAACACACAGGAACAAGGTGACAGAGGGGACTCAGGAACTCGCACTCATTGGGTAGAAAAAGTCAGCTCTGCTAAGGAGGCCTCTGCTAAGAACTGCCTAGAGCAGTGGCTCTCAATCTTCCTAATGCTGTGACCCTTTAACGCAGTCTGGCACGTTATGGTGACTTCCAGCCATAAAACTATTTTCATTGCTGCTTACTTCATAACTCTAATTTTGCTTTATAAATTGCAATGTAAACACCTGCGTTTTTTGACGGTCTTAGAAGACCCCTATGAAAGAGTTGGTCAACCCCTAACAATCCAAGGGGCTGCTTGGCCACAGGTCCAGAACATCCTCTGCTTCCTAAAGCCCCGAGTTTAATGAGTGAGGATCAGAAGTCACAGTTGGATGTGAGGTCTAGTGGATGCTGCACAGAGGATCTCAAACAGATCAGGAGTGTTTCATTCTTTGGAATTAATTGTACACTGGTGTGCTCAATTCCGAAATTCTGTGTGGCAGGCAAGCAGAGGGAAGAGTTGAGCAGCCTTGTCTCTACTTGGTTCGGGCTATGCACCCGCCCCTCTTCTACTAATGCAGCAGGCAGCCTGAGATCCTTACCCACAAACAACCTGTTGGCAGCTGAGGACCCCACATCAGGCTGCACACATATCCAACTCAGAGCTCTGCAGTAAGTTCATCTTCCCTTAAGGTCCAGCAAACTTAGGTTTCATTCAAGCATGTTCTAGTTATGTCCAGTAGAACAGTAGGGTGGCTGATCCTGCCTGAAATGGTTTGGGGTGCATGTCCAGTGTGGCAAATTGTGTCTTGGAAACAAACTTCTAGGGAAAACCCCCTTTTTACTACCTTTTACATGTATATAAGTGGGCATGCCTATAGTTTTCTTCAGAAGTGGGGCTCCTGATAGGTTGCCATGTTACAGTACACAGACCTACAGCCACATGCATGTGGGAAGCCCTAATTGGACCCAGTAGGTTTTATGTATACATATTTATGTGTGTAAACACACACACATATATATGGAGAGTGGGTGAGTGAGATAAGAGTGAAATTAAGAGAGAGTGAGAGACAGTAAGGAGAGAGTGAAAGAGAACAGAAGTTGGCAGATGAACGGAGGGAGGGAGCTGGGAGTATTGGAGTTGGGGAGTACAAGGTGGACTTGACAAAAACGAAATGCTTTCACATATGAAGGAAAAAAATAATAAAATAAAAAAGCCACCCAAGCGCTCAATACTATCTAATGGGTTCTAAATTGTGCCCAACAGAACATGGCACAGCCACTAAGCAGTTGCCGGAATTATTTTTAGTATTGGGAAACTGCTCATAAACCGTTAAACTAAGCTAACACAAGATAGAAAGATAGTAGGAAGAGTGAGAAGGGTTAGCCATTAAAACATGTCCATAGGCATGGATACAGCAAAGGGTGACGTGGGGTTGCTTCTGGATGGGTTAGAGGCGACTTTTTTTGTTTTGTTTTGTTTTGTTTTTAAATTACCTTACACTTGTGGATGTGGGTATCCCCTGGAGAGTGGTTGACCTGCAGGGAGAAGGTGGCTTAAAGCAAACAGATTCTCCCTCACTTGGAGTGGGAGCTTGTGACTCCTGGCCCTCCAGGTTAAAAGGTTGATTGCTTTTGTTTTGTGCAGATCATCATTGCTGCTGTGAATTCAAGAGTACTTTGTGTCATATCTTGAAGACACTGGGTCCTTCTGATCCTTCCAGACCTCCAGCTCTTAAAATCTTTCTGCCACCCCCCCCACCCGCTGCGTCCCCCACCCTGTGCCCTTCTTCCCCATGGTGCC